GCTTCCCCTGCCAGGGGCTGGGCCCAGGCGCCCCGGACCGGCGGCCTTCAGAGCGACGTGCCCTGCCGGTTCTCTGCAGAGAACCTGGTCGCTCTGCGAGTGCTGCGAGGAGCAGTTGTCCCCTCGGGAGCTTTGGCCGGGTGCGGAACCAACGCCTTTTGTCAGCCCAGGAAGAGTCCAGTGAGATTTTGGATGATGAAGCTGCATTGAGCAAAGCAGCGAGTGCACAGCAGCCACTGCCTGGCCACCGCTGCCTGGGGCTGTGCAGGCACGGGCCTCTTGGGCTGCCAGGGTGGGGAACCCAGGTTCACGCCCTGCACCTTGCCCGGCCCAGCTCCAGAGGCAAGGGAGCGCATGGGAGCTGTTGCCCAGAGCGAACCCGACTCATTGCCCCGCCGGAGGGGCTCTGCAGCGTTGTTCTCTGCTGAAAGGGCCAGACCCTGCTTGGGGGCAGTTCCTGCCGGAGAGCCCTCGCCTGACAGGCGGGCAGAGGCAGGCTTAGCCAGCGGCACAGGGGAAGTGCTGCGTCCCGCTGCCAGCAGGTTTCTGGGGCTTGTGGCGGCGAGCTGTCTTTCCACGTCGGCAGAGGTGGTGGGGCCTGGTGCGGTGCTGAGCCACCGCTGCGTGTGCTCTGCAGCTCTGGCGCAGCCACTGGTGCTCACTGATGCCTTGTGGGTGCTGCAGCTCTCCTGTTCTCATTTCTGGTGCTGGCTGGAGATCCCTCCACCACCAAGTGCGGTGTCCTTGTGCCTTCCGGCACCCCACAAATGGCACGGTTCTCTTGTTTTCTTTAAATCCCTTTAAATATCCCTGCTGCGCTGCAATGCCTGCCAAAGGAACACTGCGCAGGTAGAGCACCGCCCGCCCTCCGTGGCAGCGCGTTGCTGCTGATGCCTGCCGGGACTGTCGGCTGGGCAGCGTGTCGCTTGTCGTCCGTCCCTACCAGCTGCTGGCACAGCAGCCCCAGGCCCGCACCGGGGCTCTCGTGCACTGCAAGATGTGAGTTCCCAAGTCCTCCCCTTTCCCACAGCCTCGGCTCTCCCAGGCTGCCTTTGACAGGCACGGGGGGAAGCTGCTGCGCTGGCGGAGCGGCCGTTCTGCTGCGCCGCGGCAGCTGCTGCGTCAGACCGAGCGCTGCAGTACAAGCAGCTGCCGGACTGGAAAAGCAGCCCGGGCCGCGCTGAGGCAAGCTCCGAGGCAAGGGTTGTGAGGCGCCTCTCCCGGAAGGGGCTGAGGCTTTTCCTTGGAAGCCACAAGTAGCGCGAATCATTGGGCCACCGTGTCCTGCCCAAGCCGTGACCGGAGCCACGCGTCCCTCGGGCTGCTCGTGCATGCGTGTGCTCGGCTGCCAGGCGGGAGAGCCCAGCCTGTTTCCCTGCAGCAGGGGCCATGGGCCGGGGAAAACGCGGGCAGTGACTCACTGCTGCAGCCCCGTCCTGCGTACCCCTCCCCAGGCATCCCACCATCACCCGAACGATCTAACAGAAACACCAACGTCCAGAGTTTGGAAAGACTTGCCAAAGAGCTGGCGATTGCATCAGACAGGATCTGGCCCCGACGCTCGCTGCCCACAGAGCGGCTGTTGGGGGCCAGCACAAGCAGGGCCTTTGTTCACTTTATCGGCACATCTGGGCTCGCTCTAACTGACACGATCGAGGGCGACGCCTGCTCCGAGCTCCCGCTCTTGTGCTGCCTTTCGCGTCCCCGTGCCGCGGGGAGGGCTGCGGGGGGGGCGGCCCCCCGGGGCGCACAGGCGGCTCCTGACGGCCGAGGGGGCTTCGTGCCAGCCCTTGCACTTCCTTGTGGTTTCCGAGTTGCGCCGTTTCCCTTATCCGCGGCACCTGGGAAGCACAGCCGCTTTCCTGGGACCAAGAGGAAAGGGAGCCTGTGCCATTAGCTCAGTCGGTTCCCTCTTGCACTCAGAGTTCCTGGTTACAGCTGAGTCTTTTAGTCCAGGAGCAGGGCCATGCCGCCTCCTCTGCAGCTTCTCCAGCGCTGTAGATTCTGTAAGAGCTTTTCCCGGCTGAGCTTTCCTTACCCGTAACACAAACATGCCACATCCGCAGGCTCTCGGCACACATCGTGTTCTCCCCCCAGTCGCCTCCCTCGCTCTCCCGACTGCGCAGGAATTCCACTTTGTGCTTGCAGCTGGAGTAAGCACAACACAGCCAAGGCTCAGCCCCCCCCGCCCCTCAGCTGGCAGGAGCCCCCCCAGCTTCGCCACCGCAGAGACCGGCTGTTTTCACTTCCCCACGCCCTTCTCATCCCTCACGCTGCGGGCCGTGCAGAACAGGGTGAACAGCACGGGGCAGATCTTGAAGACAAACACTGCAGCGGGGGCCTCTTGCCTCCCCTCTGGCAAGGACTGTCCCAGATCCCCCATTCCACAACTCAGCAAGCCCAGGGATTCCGGTCTTCTCCCACCCCAGGCGTCTGCAGAAATCCCCCTGCGGAACAGAAGTTCTGCCACTTCCTGCCAGAGGCCCAGGACAGGAAGTTCCAGAACAGAACCAGAACGGACAGCAGACAGTCAGTTCAAAGATTTTATTTAACTGTCATAAAAGGAGAAGCAGACGATGATTCCAAACCTGTTAACCCGGGTCTAGGATTTACAGACAATATGCACCAAATCAAATTAACAAAAATCTCTCTAGGGGCGGGGCAGGGGAGAGTTAGAGGCAGAGACGTAGCTACGAGAAAGCCACATGTACTTGGTCCCAGTTCTAACACGACCTCAACGTGGTAGGATCCAAATAAGAGGGCTGTGGGGCTGGAATGTGCCTGCCCAGCCCTCAGGGGTTCGTGGGCCCCAGAGGGCTCCTTTGCCCCGCGCACCGTGTCGACGCAGCCCTGGTGTCAGGCTGGCGTGCCGCGGGGGCCCGGGGCGGGCGCGGGGGGAGTCGAGTGTCAAGGCAATAAATACTGACAGGCCAGGCACAGATTTTAAAGGCAGAACAGATACATAAGGCATTAACCGCTTCCGAGTACGTGTCCATTGCAAGCTCTTTGTGATCGCATCAGGAGAGCAGCTGCAGAAACAGCCGAGTCCATCCTCAGCCCAAAACAGCCAGGAGGGCAGGTGCCGCCCTACGATTTCAGTGCTTTGCAGCTGCCTTGGCTGCAGTGAGAAGTGTGAGGTGATGGCAACACTGGTGACTCCCGCACCCGCCCGCCTTGCAACCCCCTCCATGCCTCGGAGGCGCTGAGGCTGCCAGAGAGCTCGGACCTCTACGCAGCAGGGCCAGGGGTCCTGCCAGGCCAGCTCTCTGGACACAGGGAGGGGCGGCCAGGCGTCACCCAGGACGTCACACCACCCTCCCCTCTGGAGATGTCCCGTCTCGGGTGAAGAACGGACCAGCAGCAAAGCGGCGTGTTGTGAATCTTTCCTAATAACCCATGAGGGGCGTGACCAAGATGAGTGCCATGCCAACAAACGGGGGGTGGGGGGGTGGGTGGCATTTAAAAAGTGTAACAAGGGCAGGGCCCCCTCCCTAGAGGATGCGTGTTACACATTAAGGCATCATGGTTACAGGGAACATCCACAAATGAAGCTGCCAGTGTTCCCAGGACACTGACCGGTGGAAGGGGCAGGCTGGACATGATTTTAGCCAACAAATGGATTCAATAGCTGCCTGGCATCAAAGTTCTTCAGCTACTGGGAGGCAGTAGCTACCCTGAGCTGTGCACAGGAAAGCCAAGCACAGGATCCTACCCAGAGCATAGGGGTCTCTCCCCTTCAGCACCTACCCCAACAAAGGAAGGTGAGAGGCAGCAAAGGGCCTGGCGAGGGAGCAAGTGCTCCCACCTCTGCGCTGGGACAGCACGGCCCTGGGACGGGCAGCTGGAGATCAGATGCAGACAGCACGGTTCGGTCAATGCACTCAGCGATTCTCTGGGGAGGGGGCGCATTACAAAACTGAGCTCTCTGGTCAAATTATAACAGGGGGTGAAGGGTAAGAGGGTTCCAATGTCAGCACTTTGGTACAGGGGGGGATTTCTACGGTAGCCACTGTCTGATTCACGCTCTCTGGGGTTTGGCCTTGGGAAGGGCTAGTCCTTCCAATCCTTCTTGATGGTCAGGTTCCACTCCCAGGACAGGTGGTCAGTCTTATCGTCATCTGTGAACTTGGATTTGATGTTGTAGCTGCCCCGGGCCAGCATGCCCTTAGGAGCTTCTTCCATGGGGGTCAGAAACTCATACTCCTCTGCTCGGGGGCCGTAGCTCCCAACCATGTATTCGGTCTTGTCAACTAGAAGGAGAAAAAGAGGTGTATGGAGGCCATCTAAGAGCCTCCCCTGCACTTGGGGCAAGGCTGGAGCAAGCGAAAGGTCTGTTACTGCTACAACAACCCACAGAGGAGCTGCAAGAACAAGACTGTTGCCCCCATTAACAGCTCCGTTCACTCCAGGAACGGCTCCTCCCGCAGGGAGCAATCCCCCCACGCTAGCACCGCTGTCAGCACTCCGGCGGGGATGACACCCCAGCTCCAGAGGCGCAGGTAGAGCCAGGACCGCAGGCTGCCACCCTGCAGCAGACCCAGAAGCCTTCACCCAGCGCCATGGGCTCAGCGGCACGGACGCGACTGCAGACTGTCCCCTCCCATGACGAGCTGTGGGGGCACCAGCCGGCGAGCCCCCACCACCCCAGCGCAA